GTATGAGCATTATGTATTATGTTAATTTTTATGAGTAGGTTATATTGTTTGATTTTCACTTGTGGATAGTAAAAGGGGCCTCAAAAGTCTGTTATAAAAAAAGAATCACATGGGGTCGAACTGCTGACATAGCGGTCAAGAACGCAGCTTTGGCATTAGACTGCCTAGGTTTGTATCCCAGCGTCACTACTTTCTAGCTGTATGATCTTGAGTAAGTTACTTAACTTCTTAAGCATCAGTTTTCTCAGAGAACAAGACTAGTACCTACTCATTAAGAGGATTGAATGCATTAATACATTCAAAGACTTAATTACTGCCGTAGGGTAATAAGCACTTTTTAAAAAGTTAGCTGCAATTTTATAGACAATCTCACTTAAAATTAGAGCTCTCTGCATTTTAGTACTTAAAAGCAGTTCTCTTTTCAGTTCATAACTGATGGTTTCGAACTAGAGGGTCAAAAAAGATAAGACGGCACTTGCTCTACTCTTTTTTTTTTTTTTTCCAGCATATTATGGGGGTACAGATGTTTAGGTTACGTATGTTGCCCTTGCCCCCTCCCCCCATTGCTCTATTCTTAATACCGAAATTGTCCTGGGGGAGTCCAGTATATGTTTCCCTCCTTTTATGTGTAAGCAGTAACTTTAATTAATAAAAGTACTTAATAAAATAGGATCTATCAGGCTGGGTGCTGTGGCTCATGCCTGTGATCCTAACACTCTGGGAGGCTGAGGCAGGAGGATTGCTTGAGCTCAAGAGTTCAGGACCAGTTTGAGCAAGAGTGAGACCCTGTCTTTACTAACAATAGAAAAATTAGCCAGCATCATGGTATGCAGCTGTAGACCCAGCTACTAGGGAGTCTGAGACAAGAGGTTCAGTTGAGCCCAGGAGTTTGAGGTTGCGGTGAGCTATGATGATGCAATTGCACTCTACCCAGGGCGACAAAGCGAGACCCTGTCTCAAAAAAAAAAAAAAAAAAAGTATCTGTCACGGATGTATTCTTTTTTAATAATATGACTTCGTAAATATGGATATAAAATATTTTTAAAATGTTACTGCTCTTAAACTCTCATGGATAGTTGATCCCAGAATTACACACACATTTCCTTCCCCCTACTCTGATATACAGTCATGTGCTGCATAACAAAGTTTTGGTCAATGATAGACTGCATATATGACAATGGTCCCATAAGATTATAATGGAGCTGAAAAATTCCAGTAGCCTAGTGACATCATAGCTACCCTAACATCATAGTGCA